GTGCCAACTGCTCCGGTGGCTAGCCCCTTAACGGCTAGCCACGGGAGCTTTGATTTTAAGAATTGATTATTCTTGTTTAGTGATTAATTACATTTATTTTTAGAGCTTCAATAACTGTTTTTATTTAACTGTTGACTACTTTAATTTCATAATTAAATACTTTTGTTCCTAAAAATTTGGTTTATACTCTTGTTTAGTTATTATTACTCTATAGTTTCACTATTTCCTACTCTTATTTCGTTAATCATGCCAAAAGTCCTGTCATAATGGATGACCATGACTCTTTGAAATTTCGAATTACTTTTTCTCTTGCATACACTTCTATTCTTCACATTCTATGGTCTACTTGATTTCAAATTAATGTGAAAATGAAGAAATAAAACTGATTCTCCTCTTATGTCATTGTCCGAGAAGAAAATTGCGATAAAGCTTGTCAAAGTAGCCTGTGAATGAATGAATTGAATAATTTTAGTCATCATATAATAATGATAATAATACTACGAAGTAAATCAATGACTCGTAATATCACTTTTTTTTGGGTATACTTCCATTTTGAAGAACTAGATGGGCCTACGATCAAGATAAAGATACTAATATATAATTCCCGTCTAAATTTTTTAATCCCATGTACAATGAATTAATGACAGTGCAAGATGAGGTGAACAAATTAGGTTATAATAATTCACGTTCTATTTGCACTCTTTTTGGTTTTGGTTCCTTATATTTAAAACTACTATTCTTGGCCTCTTAAATTTATTCTGTTTAAAATATATGTCCTTATATTTTTAGAAGAACTTCGGTTCAAAGTTAACACCATTATTTTTCTGCTTTGGACGCCAATGGGCTGGATGAGGTGGAAAAAATTTGAATCATGCCATATGTGACCTTGAAGATGTAAAAGTAAGTTGGGAAAGGAAAAAAAAAAAATAGAGAGAACAGAGGTCAAAACCCTTCTGGCCGTCTTCAATCTATCTGATTAAAACCCTATTTGGCACCTTTTCTTTCCTCATCCGATTTGCAGTCACTTTTGTCCTTTTGGTAGAGTTAGGAAAACAGACTGAACTCATTAGGCCAACTCGTTTAAGTTGAGGGCCGAGCTTGTAATTTGGAGTCTCAAGTGAAACTTGGACTTAAAAGGCCCAACTTTGTAGGGTTGAAGAATAAATAGGCCCACTCGTTTAAACCCGCCAACAGTAATTTTTTTCTTGACCCTAACTTAAGTTCCCAAAATTTTACATGTCACATCCTGAATTTTGGGCATAAAAATACCAAAATTAGTTTAAATGGGCAGATTGTCATACCCCTTATGACAGGGGTCCCAAAGATTCCTTGGAAGGATGGAGGAATTCCCAAGGACTTAATCGCAGAAGGAAAGTTTTCTAGGACTCAGAAAAGAGAACGATAGAGATTCCAGTAAAGTCTCAAGACCCAAGAATGAGAAATGAAGATAAATGTAAGCCAAAGATTTTGTTGGAGGCCTTAGTGAGGTGAATTACAAGTTAAGCTAAACTAGAGACCAAATCGTAATTTTATAAAGTTTTGAGCTGGTAAGGGTAAAAATAAAAATTATGCCCAAAAAATTCTAGAAAAATGGGAAATGGCATGTTAAGACCTGTATGTGAATACAATGACAAAAATACCCTTGGATTGACTTTAAATAAATTTTAAAGATTATGGCTTGTTTTAAGATATAAAGCTACATTTAATTATTCGAGCTATGAAGAGGCCTTAGAAATGTAAGTAAAAATGGAAATTTATGAATTAAGAGAGTATACAAAATTATAAAATTAGTATCATCCCTAGAAGGCCAGCAGAATGACTTTAAGAATATTTAAAAGCCAGTTATGCCGAAAAAGAGTAATTTACGGGAAATTCAAAAAGAAACGCTTGCCGATCGAGTTATGGATTGAGAAAATTCATATATTTTCTCTAAAATATGAGAAATTTTATAATATTTTTAGATGAATTTTTGGAGCTCTAGATTGAATAAAATGCTCCAGTTAAATATTAAATAAATTTTGTCCCCTAAATAGGAGATAAAACTAAAGAAAACATCTGAAGGCCATCATGATGGTATTGAGTCAGCATGCTGAGTCGCCAAGTGTAATCACGACACCTCTCAGTTAGCGTGCTAAGTCAGTAAGGGATATTTATGGATAGCATAAAAATCAGAACACAGTACGGGTATATTTTAGACAATGCTTTGTTTAGTGAAATCTCTACTATGTGACTCAGTAAGGCTAAGTAGCCTGTCAGTAGAGCTAATTATTTTCTTCTATACTCTTCTAAGATGACACCATGTGTGTCCTTAATTGATATGAGAAAATGGTATCAAAACATGTCACAGTGGTACAGGGTAAGTCAGGACCCCAAAAAGTACTCGATACTGTGCAAAATGACAAGATAGGTGGAGGAATACTTAAGAGTTGTATTTTACACGAATTTTATATTAATTCTCTTCCTATTTTAATGCCATAATGATGAAGGGACATGAAAGAGACAAGTGTATGGTTGATGAACGACATGTGTATGGTTAGATGAGAAAAGAAGGTATTACGTGTACGGTTGGATGAGAGACACGTGACTTGATGATGTAAGTATGATTTAAGCAAGGTGATGTAAGCAATCTAGAAGGTAGACACTTGGCTTGATCAAGATGGAAGATAAGGGATAAGGGACACATGGCAAAATCACAAAGAAAGATTAAATGAATGGCCAAAATTAAGCCACACATACACAAGATCAACAGCCAAGATTCAATCTTGTTTTCTACATATACCCCTCCCCTCCCCTCATTTCGTCCAAGGCTCTTGAAACCTTGGGAAAACTCTTACAAAATGAATTCTAGAAAGAGAAAGAATAAGGGGAGAGAAAGGCCAAGTGATCCCATGTAAGATCAAATTTTAAAACAAGGTATGTTCATGGTTTTTGATGTAGTTTTCACTACTCTTGTTATTGTTGAGCTTGGTTATGGATTTTTATGATTTTTGGGAGTTTGAAACCCCAAAAGGACATGTTGCACGAAATTGTTAAGTGTAGGGGAAGATGAAATTAATGTTCAAATAATATTTAAAGACTTGAAAGGAACAAGAATTGTAGTTCTAGCTTTGTATTAATTGAATTCCATGACTTTGGAACCAAAAAGGATGCCACAGCTTGATTGGTTCTTATGCCGAGGATGTTATTTTGATGATTTTACTACTTTTAATGTGTTTAAAATGAAAAATTTTGTAGGAATAAGATGCAAGAATGAAGTTGGAAGTATTGGAATCAAAACTGAAATTTAAGTGGTGGATTTCGGTTTTGGCCTAGAACCAGGGAAAAGGGTTGGATTTTAATGAATCTAAGCTCATATTTGGATTCATTGGACAAAATTGTGTAGGATTGCTCTAAGAAAACAATTTTTACGAAGCTAGAACACTACATTATAAATTAAGGAAAAGAGATTAAGTTTAAGGATATAAGTCTTCCATATTGTGTAGTTCTTAGTCCTAGTGATTAATGTGACCCTTGTGGCTGTGATTAGAACCTTGAGATATTGAAGAGAAGATTTAGATGTGGTTGACCGAAAGCTAGATGGTTGGGAAGCTTCGGGAGCAAGTTGAAGAGCAAGAGAAAACTTATGATGCAAGGTAGTGAACTTATCTTTCTTGTGTGCTTGATGTGTATGTTTGTGTGTTGATGTGCATTATACTGTTTGATGATGATACGAGATACTAATACTAGCATGATGCTCTATTTTATTGATATTTTTCATGGCCATGCATGCATGTTTATGTAAAACATTGAGCATGAGGAAATGTTGTAAGTAAGCATGTCATACACTTGTACTCATGTTTATTACTGAATTTATAAGCATACATACACTTTTCAAATGTCCATTTTAACAAATGTTAATTTTAAAAATTACATTAGAAGAGCTTATATAAAAATTTACAAGTATTCATAAGTAAATTTACATACACACACGCATTTTAACAATTAACAAGAGTAGATAATAAGTGTGGTAAGAGAACTTGACTTAAGTTATGTCATTTTATTTAAGCCTTGGTTTGTCAACATTTTATTTAATTCTTGGGTAACCTTAACTTGCGCATTATGGTTTATTTGTTAAGGCGGAATGTTAGATAAGGTATAGATTTGACTATAGCCTTTAAAATTCAACATGATGCCCTTTGCAATATTACTTGCATCTATGTATACATGCACATAAAGATGCAAATAATGACTATCTCAACTTCTAACAATTAAAAGCTAATTCCAAAATGACCTTTTAAGATTAAAAGTTTTGAGTTCAATAATAACTAATTTATGGTATTCATAGGTGAATTGACAAATATGCATAAGTAGTTGATCGGATTTGGAGCGGTTTAAATTTAACTTAGAAATTTTTTAAATGAAACGTTAAGAAATAAAGGTGAAAACATTCCACATAATACAATTACAAATTACCTTTTTTATGGCGTCCTTTCTACATCGATTGTTGTGGGGATAGTATATACAGCGTAACTTATGACAATTTCTGTAAATAGAAAGTAATAAGACGGTTGATTTATATGTAGAAGACATTTTCTACACCAATTAATCATTGGATGATTTCTGACATTGATCGTTGGATAGAATTTATCTTTTCATATCAGCAATGTAATTGCTTCTAATTTTATAGATATATTAATATTGAAATAATTTTTATGCAATAAATCTCTTGTAACAGTAAACCTGACGAACGATACACAGTATTCCCCAATGGTGCGAAGGGTGAATTTCCTACATGTATTTTGAACAAACATGAAAAACGCCACTTTTTACTTTTGTTTTAAATGAATAGATGTAAAAGGTGAAACTTTTTATCTGTTTCTGAAAAACAGACATGTATGTTTTTTTCTATGTTTCATGTTTGTTCTTTGAAAATAGACACAAAAAATAGGACTGTTTAAGCCTTGTTTTGGCAAAATGCAAAAACACCAAAAAAAAAAAAACAAGAAGAAGAAGACCTAAGGAACGTAAAAAGTATTGCAACAAGAGCAGACACTCATTTGCAATTTTCAATTAACATACACCAAATACGTGGCCAATATAAAAATGACAGCAAATAATTATTTTGATATTAATTTATTAATTTATTTGGCGAACTGATTAACAATATAATATTAATTTATTTTTAAGCAAAAGGGCAGAATAATCCTTAAACTTTAATTTGAGGAAGTTCTTGAGCTTGGGCAAGCTAATCACCAAGTTAACGAATACCTTCAATTCCCTGCAAGAATAGAAAAGCAAAGATGATCACCATACATAAAACAAGGCTGTACTCTTTTATTTTAATATCTTAAAATATTTCTGTTTTGGGGCATGTTTGAAACATATTGAGAAAATTTTCGTCTTTTTTTAATAAGTAAACTTATATATCGTAACACAGAATAAGGGGTTTAAGGTATAAAAATAATATTGCATGAAATTCAATAACAAAATTTATAAGCTGGTTCAAGTAGATTTAAAAAGAAAGGCCGTAAATTTAAAATTTTGTGTATGACTTGGGAAAATTATGAAGCATGTGAGTAATACAAATATCAAATTATATATAATTACCATTAAATTTTCAAACCGTTGGCGGTGTCAACTAAAACCCATCACATGAAATCAAGCAATTATTAAAGTGAAATTTCATGTTCCTTCGTGTATGATCTAATATGATCTAATTGAGAGTTAATATTTGTCATATATGTAAGACGTATTTTATATGTTTATCAATTTTTTTAAACTAATCTTAATAATATTTTTCAATAATAATCAAATACGGAAGGGATGGGGAAAATTAAGGAAATGCTTATAGTGTTTTAAAAAAATATATCATATTAACTAATTTAACTAATATTCTCAATCTGTTTAAATTAATTAATTAGATCTATGTTAGGGAACGAATGAGTATAAAATTAGGCTAAACTTTCATGAATTGAGAATACATAAATGAAAAAGAGAAATTAACAAGTGACTGTTCTTAATTACAGTTATTACCTTTGCATTGGGGAGGAGCGGTGCCACCACACTTAGCAGGCAAAGCCATGACTTTCTTGGGGTCAATCCCTAGTGCAGGAAGCACCGACTTGTACTTGCAGAGGCAAGCCAGATCGGCATGCCGACCAACGGCACAACAGGCCTCCGTGGGCGGCGGAGGGTGCGGCCCAGTAACCGCCGGACGGCACAAGCTCAGCTTCGTCGTGTCGGTGTTGCACAACACAACTCCTTGGGTTCCTCGGGGCAGGAGCCCTATCATCAACATTGCTATTACCGCCACAAGGCACAAAATTAAGGACCTGAATTTGATCGCCATGTTAATTATGTATTGGTGTTATCGGAGTTCTCGCTGTTTATATATTTGTGGATGTGGTAAGGGACGCACCCAGCAATAATTAAAATATATGTAATTAAAAATATCACATAATTTTATTAGGTAAAAATGCACATTTAATCTTTTTTAATTTTACAAGATTGTATTTTGAACATAGATCTTTTAATGTTATAAAGTGTCTTTTCATTAGCTAAGCTTAATATTATTAACAAAAGACGATAATATTGAAAATTTAAATTCTGACATATTAAGGTTAGTTATAAAAAAATCATAATAATTGGTTAAAAAAAAAACTAGGTGAAACCAAGGAAGTAAGGATGTCATTATTAAAGAATTGAAACGATATTTTAAAAAATTGAGGAATTTAATGCAAACCTAATATGAAATTAGATGATTAAAAGAATAATTTTTCTATTTTATTATGAAGGATGATAAATTATGATAATTCAATTTGATTTTCCTGTTGATAAAATAAATGTTTATTGTGGAAACACAGAAGTTAATGTGTATACATTATTTAACTATTGTATTTAGAAAAAACAATTGAAGTTATTATAAGTATATGAAAATACTTACATCAAATCTTTTATATTGATTATATTAAGTTTTTAAATCATATATGACCATGTGTCCTTTTTTTTTTTAATGTGCTTTTATAGTTCAATGATAATATTTAAAAATAGTAAATATGATTATGTATCATTAGAGAATTTAATATAATAGGTATAACTGTATAAGAATTGTCCTTTTAAGTATATGTATGTAAAGTTATAAAAAAATACATTATTTTAAAAAGTAGAATTTTTTTTAGCAGAATAATAGATGCATTTGCTGTAAATATGAAAACGAGTAACGCACTTCGTATATGATCTTAATGTAGTAGTTTTTTTAAATATTTTTTATAGAAGATCATAAATATAATAGTTAATTGAGTTGTTTGATATAATTCCAAGTATGATCTGCTTTATTTTTAAAATTTTTAAATTTATAATTTTTTTCAATTATTTATATCAATTGCACCTAATAAATAAAAGTTTTTATGTGGGATAGTTTTTATTGCAAATTATCAAAATGACATCTTGAGAAAATCAAGACATAGTTCTTACGAGTAAATAGTTTAATTTTTTTTTAATTTTAATCAATTAATTATTTAATTCTTGTATATATCATCGTAAAAATATTAAAAAAAACAAAATTTTTATCATGGCTAAAAAATAATAAAATTTTTACGGTTGGTGGACCCCACAATGGATCCTCTCTTCGGATAGATCAACGGTATTGGCCTTGGGAGTCAATGGTCTTCGCTTTTGAACAGCTGTCAACCTGTTTTTGTGCAATGAACATGACTTGACCCATCAATTACGGTCGGCTGCTCGGAACGTCAGAGTCCGTGAACAACAAGTTAAGCTGGTGGTCCTGATCTCAATAATTCACGGGCAGTTGTAGGACCCACTAGGACATTACATCAGTAAAGGAAAAGACACATTCCCCCACCGGCCCGCCCACCTTATCCTATAAAAAAAAAAAAATTATTTTCAATAATTCACGGAGTGCCCACTGGGATATTAAATGGGCAAGTGAAAAGATACATTCACCCACCCTGCCATCCATATTTACACAAGAACGAAGGAAAAATGACATGGGGATTAAGTACTCTGATACTAGTACATCAATTTTAATTTTAATTTTAATTTTCTTAAAATTAACTTGCTAATTTTTTATTTAGAGCCCTTGGTAGTTTCAGGCTAAATGTAGGAACATGAATTATAAATTGTTAACACGTGAGTGTTTAATTTTAGAAAATTATGATTAAAAATTAAAACCTATTGTCCGTGGATTCAGCTGTAGGAACTACCCTCTCTCACTCAAAAGGGAGAGGGTTTGATTCCCATCATGATGCTTGAAAAGACATCCTAAAATAGAGGTGCCTAAGTCAAAACCTGAATCTATAATGTAGATTTGCAATGCCCAACATTGATATCACCTTGAAGGAACCATTTAAGTGTCCTGTCCTTAACTTGGGTTGAGTTCAAACCCTTGTCTAAAATTTATGTGCCAAAAATAATAATAAAAGGTTGGAGGAAGAACATTTTTTTTTTTTGGGTACAAGGATCAGATTTTAGTACTTTAAGGTTAAATATGAAAATACGAGGCGTAACTTTTTTAAAATGGAGGGTCAAATTGTGGACCGTGCTCTTCACCTATGAATCAAAGGGCCTGAATTGAAATTGTGGATGACCTGTGGCTCCGTGCTCTTCACCTATAATTTGTTAGGCAGAATGAAATGAAAATGCTCAATTTCGTCTCAAATTGCTATACCTCCTCCAAATGAGATAGAGACTATTAGCAGGACAATAGAAAGAAAGAATTATAATCAAGTTTCATATAAGAGAAATAATTACCAAAAAGTTCCAATAACAATCTCAACAACCTATAATGACAAATCATATAGTGAGAATGACAACTTATGGAACTTGTTTTTCAATTGTTTTCCTTGCTTGGGACCTCATTGTAATTCTCTCCAATAGAAACTAGGGACTTGCTTAATTTTAATTTTTTTTCCTCAAAACAGTTTTATAAAATTATTTTTAAAATAAATTTTGAGAATAAAAAAAATGTTTGGATTATTATTTTTTTAAAATGACATTTAAAACAAGAAAAAATTTTAAAAAAAACACATTTTGCAAGTGGTGGCCATCGCCAGCTACGATACGTTGCTGGTGGTAGGTAAGAAGAGAAGAAAAATTTTCTAGTTTTCAAAACAAAAGACACAAAATAAAAAGCAGTAAACATCTAAAATTTTTTTTTTAATTTTTAAAAACACATTACATGTCATTTTCATCATTCATCATTACATAGCATTAATTGGCATGTACAATTCATACATCAACATAAATGGAAGTCATTATATAGCATAACATAAGAACATTTTTTCAATTCTTCACTTTATTCGTTTGATCTACATTTTGCATTCCTCTTCCATGTTCATAATACCTATTATAGTGGGTTAAGAGAGAGTGAGATTTAGGAGAATCTCAAAAGCAAACCTACCAATACGCATGCATGATGAATAGTAATATATGACTTGCTTACCTTGTCTAGCTCATGCTAACAATTGATATGCTCTTATACTCAATATTTCATACCATCATGCATGACCATGAAACAAACTAGAAATAGAGAATCTTTCATTCATACATGTTTTATGTCATCATCAGTTAACATCATGCACATCAATACAGAAACATATACATTAAGCACACAAGAAAGGTAGGTTTACTAACTTGTAAGTTTATGCTTGCTTCTTGCTCCTTTTACTTCCAATCATTACGATTGCTTGCTCAACCTTGCCATTCTTTTTCCTTGATGTCGCATGGCCCTAATCACATAAACACATTAGTACCATTTATTCATTAGAGCCATACCATTAAGCCACTTCCAAACATAGCTCTCTTGAATATAACTTTAACTTTAATTTTTCAGTTTTCATTCCAATCTTTCAAAAAATTAATTTCACATGATATTTTCACATAATTTTGCATGTAAAATCTATTTTCAATTTCAAAATTAACAAAATCTAACTCATTCCCCTTCAACTCATTATGGCCGAACAACTAGAGTGTAGGATTCAAAATTTTATTTTTAATTCTAATACTTCCAAACTTACATTCTCACCTTTACCCCCACATAATTTTTTATTATAAACACATTGAAAGTATTAAAATCATCAAAATCTAAAACCCTAACTTAAACCCTAGTCTTGGCCAAAATTATACAAAGGTTATGGGGAAGTTGGATTCTTTCCAATTAAATCACAAAACCACTTGGTTCCTACTCTTTTCTTTCTCTTAATCATTAAGCTAACTTCAATCAATTCTTTCAATAACTTAATCACAATTGGACAACACTTCCCATAGGATTTTATGCTTCTAAAAATTATTAAAAGCCATAACCAATCTTTACAATACATAAAGCATCATAAACTATCTCAAAACCCATAATCTTGTCTTGTATTAAAACTTGACCTGGCTTGAAGCTTCTTGTTCTTCCTCTTCTTCCTTCTCTCCTAGTTCAAAAATTTCATCCTTCTCTCCTCTCAACTTGGTCAAAAATCTTCATGCAATTGGAGGCATATTTATAATGCCTCTTAAGTTAACCCTTTATACTTTGCCACTAATCCCACACAAAATTACAATGGTTATTTGTCATCTATTTCAAGCCTCAATGTGAGTTTGAAGATTTTATTTTGCCCCCAAAATTGGTAGAAATTACCATGGCCATGTGTTATCACCTCCAAGCTTTCATGTGCCTTAACTAAAATGGAAAGTATTTTCAAATCCAAAGATGTTTCCTATCCAATTTTGTCCTTTAACAATTGCTAAAATTCCAACACCATCCCTTCATGAAAATGGCACCAAAATAGAGAAAAATTGGAAGAAAATTCATCCAAAAATAAACTCTAGGCTATTCCTCCATCAATCTTACAATATTGTATCGTATCGAGTACTTTTTGGGTCTTGACTTCCCCAATAGCATTGATATGTGTTCTAATATCCTTATCCTGCTGTTACATTCCCTCCCTTATTATCTATAACTTCAAATAATGACAATAACTAAGTAATAGTGGCTCTAGGGTTTTTATTTCTTAAAAGAAACATCAAATTATTTTATTCCACTGTAACTTTAACCAAATGCTTTTTGATGTTTTCTGATTGTCTAAATTCATTCCTCTACTTCACTAGCTCCCTTTTATTATAAGAAATTATCTAATTTTTCTTAAACCAAAACTCAACCTCTAGAAATTCTCTAATTTTTCTTTAATTAGGTTTAACCTCAGGAATCATCCTATTGAGGTTTCTAACATGACTTCCAGCCCATAGTCATCCTCATTTCTCATACTTGGCCCTCGAGGCTTCATTGTAGCCCCTACCTCCTCGTTTCTCGGTCCCATAAAAATTTTGCTTTGCATTGGACTCCTGAGAATC